GGAATGCCAGGGTTCAAGGTGAGCGGCCACTGAGGGTTGACTCAGACCCCAGCTCACCTTCACACCCCTAGGAGGCGGCGGGGCCCCCATGTGGGCGGAGGCCCGGGGGGGAGGTGGGCGTCCAGAAAGCCTGCCCTGGTTGCAGGATTTTTGCGGGAAGCAAGGGGGGCTGGCCCCTGCCATGCTGGGGGACCTTGCTCTGTCCCTGTCCCCATTCACCTCGGCGACCCGCTGGGGACTGGGGGGGCACTGAGAGAGGGCATGGGGGAAGGCTGGCCTCAGGCCCCCAGCCCCCTTCCCTGGCCCAGCCTTTCTCCTCCCAACCGGGCCTCTGTTTCCCCAGCTGGGCTGGCGGGCCAGGCAGGCCTCAACTGGCTCAGGGCTGCTTGTGGGCTCTGCTACCGTCCACCCGCCGCTGTCTTTCAGGGACCCACCGGCTACAAAGGGGAGCAGGGAGAAGTCGGCAAGGACGGCGAGAAGGTGAAGGCGGCTGGCGGCTGGGTGGCGCCCCGGGGGGTGGCTGGGAGGCACAGGCGCTTGGGGGCGTGGGGGCTGGGGCTCTGGCAGGGCTGGGGGTGTGTGAGGACGTGCTGGCTGCATCTTAGTGCCCTCTGATGGAGCAGCTTCTGTGCACGCCTCCCCTCGGGGCCTGGCTCTTAGAGCCGGGTGATTTGGGGCAGGGTCTCTGGACAGAGCCCGCAACACCTGGCCTCACACGGAAGCTCCCTGAGCTTGGGCAGGCCCCCTGCGGGCTGGAGAAGGTGGGCCTCAGCCTGAAGTGGCCCCCAGTAGTCCCTGCCACCCTCCCCCATGGCCACTGCCCTGGAGGGCATCTGTGCATCCTCATCCACAGGCTGCGGGTGAGGCTGGGTGCCCTCTAGCGCGGTGCGAGCAGCCAGACTGCCGTGTGAGCAGCAGAGGGCCTGGCCGCCGCCAGGAGGAGGTGTCTGGGGAGGGCGGGGGAGGACACGGGGCGACCTCTCTGGGCCTTGGGGGCTCAGCTGTGAAGTGGGGCGACGCCCCACACGGCAAGGGCTCTGGCAGCGGGGTGGGGCAGTGGGCTCGGAGAGGTGGGGGAGAGCTCGGGGCTGACGACACCCACCTCTCCTGCAGGGTGACCCCGGCCCCCCTGGGCCCCCTGGCATCCCAGGCACTGTGGGGCTGCAGGTGAGTAAGGGGAGGTGTTGGACAGGTGAGGATGTGGGGTGGGGACAGTCCACCAACTCCCAGGACGGGAACCGGGTGCGGGTCCTGAGGCAGGGTTTTGGGGAATATACCAGAGCCCTTCAGCGGCTCCCGGGAGGTGTGCGGTCCCGGGAGCTGCCAGGCCAGGCCCTGCAGCCCCAGCTCTCTCCCTGCAGGGTCCACGGGGCCTACGAGGATTTCCAGGGCCACTCGGACCCCCCGGGGACCGGGTAAGTCCACCAGCCCCCCGCCGCCTGGCCCTTGAGGGGCTGTGGGCCAGCCCGAGGTCAAGAGGTGGCTGGGGGGCCACCTCCAGATGTTAGATGGGCCCCTTGAGCACGGGTCCTCACCAGTGGCCGCAGGTGGCCTGTGTGACCACAGCCCTCTGGGCCTCCACTCACTGGATGGTTCCCAAAACCGGGGCCTGTAAAGGCTTTTGTGGCTTGGGCCCAAAGGGAATGGGAGAGGCAAACAGGGGACAGCAGGGGAGGCCTTGGCAAATGTGGGAGGGGGAGGGGCTTGGGGACCACTGGGGGACCGACGGGGGAGGGGCCTGCTGCGGGGCTTGGGTCGGGGGCTCCCAGCGGGCCTCTCCAGATGGAGCCGGGTGCTCTGGGGGATGCTGCCCAGGATTCAGAGGAGAGGCTCAGGTGCCCCTTCTCTTCCACAGGGTCCCATCGGATTCCGAGGGCCCCCCGGGATCCCAGGAGCCCCTGGGAAAGTGGTACGTGTGTCTGGGGGTGGGGGGTGGTCCCGTGCAGGCCCAGGCTCTCTTCTCTCTTGCTCACTCAGACGCCTCCCCCAGCCCCACTGGGCTGCCCATCCCGTGGGCACACCTGGGGGGAATCACATGTGGCACACCTGGGCAGGTACCAGTGGACACACCTGGGGGGAGGGGGCGAGTCCAGAGTCAGCCTGTCCTTCATGGGAGATTTGCGTTCTCTCTCTTTCCAGACATGAAGTGAGGTGTGGTGAGTGTCCCTCTGGCCTCTGTGGCCCTCAGCATTGTCACCCTGCTCTCCCACCTTCTTGAGTTAACTCTCTCCCTGTCCCCCCTTGTCATTGCAGGGTGACAGAGGCGAGAGGGGCCCAGAGGGGTTGCGCGGCCCCAAGGGCGACCTCGTAAGTGAGAGAGCCTGTGTTCTCTGGGTCCTTTCTGGGAGAACCTTGATCCACAGGGCGGGTGGGCGGGGCGGGGGGGGATGGGCGGGCAGGCCCGG